GTATGCAAGCATGCGGTTAGTAAATTGAATGCAGCGTACCTACCAACGCTGCGCTGGTTCTGCCTACATTCTCTGCAGGACCCGTCGTCGCTTCGGTAGTGATCCCGAGTGGCTTCGCTCATGGCTCACTAGGCCTGCCTGACTCAGGCACTCGCGACCGCATGGGCTACAGCACCATGCGCTCGATGTCGATGGAGTACAATTCATTGGTGCTTGCCGCTTCCGCACTTGCCGCTTCTTCTCTGCATGCATGAGGGCTTTCTCCCGCACTTCAGCAACTGCCTTCATGATTAGATCGCACCATGCACGCCGACTAGCTGCGTTCGATGCCTATGACCTGCAATCCAGATTAGAACGTGTGGGGCTCACTTTCATCATGTCCTGGTAACGTAACTTTGGTTTCCCCACGTGAAGCTTCCCAATACTCAGCTGACCATATGATAGTTGTTTCGGTATCCGCGTCGGGACCATACGGCTCACATGACCGAGCCACCTCAGATGTCTCAATAAAAGTATGCAGTCCACTGCATACATTACACTTCGACGCAACAGTTCCGCCCCATCCGATGCGCAGAATCCGTTGCAAACACTGTTGATGGAACCGCTCGAGAAATCGCACATCCCATTGGTACATCGTCCACATTTTGCTGCCGTATAAAAGAACGGACAGCACCATGGATTTGTACACCATCAGCTTCGTGCCAATGGTAAGCTGATGGCTGTTCCACACTCCGTACTCTAACTTCCCGAATGCCGCCGCCGCCTTCGTGACGAGGATACCCAGCTCACTGTGTAGCTGCTGGTCAGTCGACATCACACTCTCAAGGTAGCTGAAGCGGGAGGTGATTTCCAATACCTCAGCACCAAGGCTGATTCGCGGCAATATTGTAGATTGCACCTCCGGTGAAGGCTGAAAGAGACAGACAGTTTTGCTTGTGTTAATGGCGAACCCGAATTTGGCCGCTGTCGAAGCCAGAGCACTAGTCACTTGCTGCAACTCATCCGTGCTGTGTGAAAACAACGCACAGTCGTCAGCAAACAGCAACATACGGATAGTTGTCTCACAGACTAGAGTTCTCGCACCGAAACGACGGATGTTCAGCAACCCACCATCAATACGGTGCTCCACACGAACACCGTAAGCACAAACCGCATCAGAAGCACAAGACCTCTTTGCATGAAGATATATTAAACAGGGCAGGAGCTAAGACACAGTCTTGCTTCACACTAGTGAAAACTGCAAAGTCATTCGAGGTTTCTCCACTCAGCTGCACCCTCGCCCGGATATATATATATATATATATATATATATATATATGCCCGATGCTGAGGCTGATGTTGCATTCTTGATGCTTCTACACCGCAGTTGGGCTAAACCAACTTACACTTAAACTAGGTCTTTTTAAGCTGGATAAATTTCATTCCGCTTTATTTGGTTTGTTCTGCCTCCCTGAATAATGTTCTATTAACTGGCCACGTTGCTTACACTAATTGCGCTTATCTTCGGTAATTTTGTTGCGTTTGTAGCATTTTAAGTAACTTGTGGACATTTCTAACTTATCACGGATTTGTTGCTAACCAAATTACTTCATATGGTAATTTAGCGAAGAGTTATGCCAACGTATCTGTATGCATTATTGGATTTATCTTATTTCAGCTTGCCGTTTAAAGTGAATGGCTGTTGTTTGATATCCCCGGTGTGGCTGCGCTTGATGGGCTTGTTGACAAGGTGCCTACCTGTCTGTTACCCACTACCTCGTCCATACTGGCTCCAGGAGACAGTTGGTCGTTGCTGGAGGGGACGGGGTGCAAGGTCCTTGTGGCCGTGCTAGGCTCGAAGAGTGTTTCCATGCAGTCAGTGTGGAGCGGACTACGGTCCAGCCACCGCCTTGTGTGTGTTTGATTCCCCAAATACAGCGTGCTTGTGTTTGCCTGTGAAGGAGTGTTGGCCGGCTCCGTGGATGAAACATTGTTCCCATCCACATGCTTCCCGGTCTTATTCCTTCGGGTTTACACTGGATATGGGGTGTGTGGTTGGAGCTGTGGGTGGTGCAGCGCAAGACACCCATGGTCCCTCTGTAGGCGCAGGCATCCTGTGGCTGGCCACAGTGACAGGCAAATCCGAAACCGGATGCCGCCAACCATGTTCCCGATGCTGAGGCTGATGTTGCATTTTTGATGCTTCTTCACCGCAGTTGGGCTAAACCAACTTACACTTAAACTAGGTCTCTTTAAGCTGCATAAATTTCACTCCACTTTATTTGGTTAGTTTTGCCTAGCTGAATAATCTTCTATTAGCTGGCACGTCGCTTACGCTAATTGCGCTTATCTTCGGTAATTTTGTTCCGTTCGTAGCATTTTGGAGTAACTTGTGGACCTTTTTTCCTTATCGCGGATTCATTGCTAACGAACTTCCTTCATATGCTAATTTCGCGAAGAGTTATGCCAACGTATCTGTATGCATTATTGGATTTACTTTATTTCATTTTGTCGTTTCAAGTGATTGGATGTTGCGTGCGATCCCCGGTGTGGCTGCGCTTGATGTGCATGTTGACAAGGTGCCTACCTGTCTATTACCCACTACCTCGTCCATACTGGCTCCAGGAGACAGTTGGTCGTTGCTGGAGGGGACGGGGTGCACGGTCCTTGTGGCCGTGCTAGGCTCGAAGAGTGGTTCCATGCACTCAGTGTGGAGCGGACTACGGTCCAGCCACCGCCTTGTGTGCGCTTGATTTCCCAAATGCAGTGTGCGTGTGTTTGCTTGTGAAGGAGTGTGGGCCGGCTCCGTTGGTGAAACGTGCCTCCCATCCACATGCCTCCCGGTCTTATTCCTTCGGGTTTACACTGCATATGGGGTGTGTGGTTGGAGCTGTGGGTGGTGCAGCGCAAGCCACCCATGGTCTCTCTGTAGGCGCAGGCGTCCTGTGGCTGGCCACAGTGACAGGCAAATCCGAAACCGGATGCCGCCAACCATATATATATATATATATATATATATATATATATATATATATATATATATATAGTTAATAGAGAATCTAACACCAGAACATTCTTCTATTCTTCTCCCTGAATAACGTGCAGTTGGGAAACTGTAATGAACACAACATTATACATATTTCCATCCTAAATGTTGAGGGGATTTATGGAGAGAATCAGTGGACATGTTGACTTTTCCCTATGTGGGAATGGTCTTTCGCATCGTGGAGAAATAAAAGATTTATTTATTTACTTTACACCCAGAGTCGAGATGCCAGTTGGGCTCTGCCATCGTAATACAAATAGAAGGCGGTGGAAGTAAAACAGACGAGAGGGCAGTGCAACGAATGATGTAGATGCAACAGGCGGGATGATGTGAAACAAGACGGAGGTGGCTAGGATGTGAAGGACGAGTTATTGGCATCATAAGAGACTTAGTGTAAAGTAATATGTTTAGCTTAACATAAACTGGGAAGCCTCATCGTCACCCTGGGGTTGTCCGCTTAGCTAGGGTAAACTACACACCGGTCAACGCAATGACAGACGGCTTTTGGAAAACGTCTTGTAGACACTGCCTCACTAGACAATAGCTGGCTGTCCATAACTGTAAGGGTGCCGCAACACATAGTCTGTTGATCTAGAGCCGTTTTGTTCAGAGGCTAGGCAGCGTGTTTCTCGTGAATACACCGATTAGCTACCCAAGTGTGTAGTAATGTTCGTCGCTACTTCTGACTGAGTGAAGATACCGAGTGACCGGTATGGCATAAAAGCATGGAGAAAGTGATCGAGCAACTTGGTCCGGTTTTGGTGTACTGATTTCACGGATAGTAACCACGTGATGGGCAACATTTATGGCTAAAGACGTGAAGCAGTTGTGAAGTCAGAGGAGTTGTTTCAGAGAATGCTAATTCCTGCTTTTTATTCGACAAGCGCAGAAACTGCATCTGGATTCGAGGTTGAAATCTAGTCCGCCGCTTGTTGTGTTCTCTTACTTGCAATATTACGAGGGAGTAGTACGGTGAGTCGAATGGTGTAATGAACGTGGAAGTCTGGGGATAATGAGTGGCGCTATATCACATCCATTAACTTAGTCACGTCGGTCCTTACCGTCCACCGTAGCCCAGCGGTCTTTACCACGGACTGATAGTAGCCGGGTCGTGAATGCAAGACCCAATGTTGATGATTCCCGAAAGGATGTAACAGCGGTATAGTGCTTATACTTGTTGATATTAATACGGCGACGTGATGCACGGTAAGCGGATCGATCAGCTATCGTCTTGTTGACCAACCGGCTGGAATTGCACAAAGCTGCTCAATGTGTGAGTGTCTTGATCCGGATGGCTTGGTTAGTGTTTGGGTCGAAAACCGTGCTTCTCCTTCCGCTCACCCCTGTCGTCTTACCCCCCACATGTGTAGTCATTTCGATCGGTGCTGCAGTGTAAGCCGGCGAAGCGCCAGCACATAGTCCTGAGCATGAATGCTATTGTTATTATTCTGTTGTTGATGCCAACAATGTCCAACACAACAACATCAAACAACGCGCGTTGGGTGATAGATTGCTGATGCAATTTCGAAGCATTCGTTGTGTAAATGGATTGAGACGCGCAATCTCAATGCAATCAATCATTAACCGTTGTGACAAGCATTGCGTTTCGTGAGCCGGTGTCTAAAGGGGTAGACGTTCCGACTAACATCCCGATGCTTACGGATTCGATGCATGCTATCTCCACACCTGGTGAGATCAAACAAAATCGAGTGTAGAGTGTTTGAAGGCGGACACAACACGCAATAGTCATCTGAGTTCGGTGATAGTTATCCACCAAGTCGATGTGTGGAATGAATAAATGCGATAGGAGATGAGGGATGAATACAAGTTTGAAGGGGGGAAGACAAACGGAATCACCCAGTTGAACTGCTATGCTGCGAATCGCTGAAGCAAATGATGTTGCGAAAACAAAAAGCCAAACTGGATAGAGTAAGGCCCGTAGACAAGGTAAGGTGAAAAGGAGCTAACCAGAAAACTACGACCGAACCGAACGGTAGGCAGTGAGTAATTCGCAAGCAAGCACCTTGGGGTGGTGATAGTCCGGTCGGTTAAACACATCATACCCGTTAGCCTGAACTGACCACTGATTGTTACACTGTTTAGTGGCTAGGAAGTTAACATTCATCAAGCCTTTGTATATGATTGGGGGAGACTGCGCGAAAATTTTTTGCAACTGGCCATTTGGAAAAGAATAATATAGACACTGGGATGTAAAAGTAGGAGAAACGTACCGTAGCATTCACAGATGGTCTCCTTATACCTGGTGCCGGCGTTCGCAACACACGCCAACACACGTAGAGCCCACTTCTTGTCCTTCTCTTTTCCACGAGGTGAGATACATAGTTCTTGGAGGCAAAGCACACCGCCGTGTTCCAAGAACTCCAGTAGATAAGAGTGGCTAGGAGGTGGCAAATGACCAAGACAAGCGTGGATGGCATCAGCATGGAGCCACTGCAAGCGTTGCGCAGCGACCATAGAACAAAAGCCACATGCTAATGTAACAAACAGCAAATGCATGAACTAGTATAAAAGGCTGGCATTCCGAAAGTTTACATCAAAAGTGGATAGATATATAAATAATAAACCGTCAGCTGTACGCCGTAACGGCGTTTCGCTGCTGCGCGACCACCACCAGTCGCTTGTGAGCTGAGTAGACCGCGAGGACGCCCACCCCTACGTGGATTCGAACCGGTAACGTTATGATTGCAAGCCAGGCGTGCAGAGCACTCGGTCACCGGCCGAGCATCAAAGGTGGAAATAGACAACCAATCGGAAGAGGTCGCGGCTGTGGCCGAGCTGGGCAGTTGAAGGCAGAGAAGATTGCAAGGAAGCTTAGCGATGAAGGATTAGTGGAGGCGAAAATCATATTACACTGTATATTTAGGGTTATTTGAAGCACCTTCTACGACAAACAGCCTAAAACGCATCCGGAACATGTACTATGTAGGAGTCAGCAGTAGTGCGCATCCCTTACATCTGCCAGTGCTCACAAAACCCACGGATCTCTTGATACCAACGGTCTAGGCCAATGGGCTGTGTCTGACACGATGGATTGCCACGAGTTACAAGGGAACTGCGGTAAAGCGCGGCTCATCCTGCACTGCCGTAAAATTTACGAATTTGGCAGAGGACGGGGCTGGCACCCAGAGCCAAGCGGTGAGGCATAATTCCTTCATGAATATTGGCTAAATATTTCAGTTGTGAGTGCAACGAAACTAGACGCTCCCCATATCCCGAATTGTTTCCAGCCATCGGCACTTTTCGTGTTTTGGTCCCCAACCAGGCAGACGTGTGAATCCAACGGAGGCAAGACATGAAGTCAACGAGTTTATATGCTGTCTACAGGTGCACAACTGACCACCGCATGATGTGCGAGCACCCATGTTAAAAATCAGTACAATAACTGATTCGCTCCAGGAAGAAGGCACCTGTTGTCATGTCAGATTTTCGAGAACAATGCGGTTATTTGGCTGATGGTAACTGATCTACATGATTGAACATCGTCGTCCGTCCGAACCAGCAGCCTTGAATCGTTTCAAGTGTCGAATCGTAAGACAAAGTTCCGCTTCGCTGGGTGGATGAAGTGTGACGATCCAGGGAGGGCAGCTAGGTGCGTAGGGCATACAAGCGGACCGTGAGGGCTAAGTGAATTGGGAATGAAAATGTTCGGCCCAACGACTCAAGCGCCTCTGTAGGTTGGCAATCGGTGAACCATCCGCCTCGCAAATAGTCTCATTGACACCAGGTTTTCTGTGGCCAGTGAATCGAAGTAGCTGGAAGAGCTTGTGATTATTGCCAGACGGGACAGTGTTCTCTAGTTCCGAAATACGCTGAGACCACCAAACTTCATCAACACTGCGTGGTCCGGATGGTTCAGTCCCACGTCAAATTATATCGAAGTATGGGTTTCATGGCGGTTAAATAACTATGATGCTCAAAGACCAATTTCACTGCCTGTTCTAGAACCAGTTCTTCACTGGACATAGACGAACAGTTTCGCTAAGTTTAACCCTACTGGTTACTCGGATAAGAAGCAGATACGAATGAAAATCGAGTCGTTAAAGGATGCTAAGACCCCTCTTCCTGTCCAATGGAAGCAGTAACGAATCAAGACCACATATAACTCATAACCATGAAATCTGATTAGGTCGCTGCGCTAATCGGATGCTGGGTGTATTCAGATGTTCTTTGTGAACGCGTGGGGATTAAAACCCACGGAACCACAGTTTCTCTAATTAGTTTGAAAGTGGTAGTTGTTTTTTTAATAAAAAAGCCACTTTTCATTTTAAGCGTATTAATTGTATGACATTCATTCCGCGCAAGAAAGTAGGCAAAATTTTGCAAAAGAGTACTCTTTTCGACAAATCTCCTCAGGCATTTACGATTATAAGACGGAAAGGCAGAACACAAATAGCTGATGAAGCCAAAAAGGTGGAAATAGTGGAATCATGACAAACAGAAACTCAAAAGTCTTGATCAATAAAGTCCATTAACATATGTGACAGAGCACGTGTTGGTTGATCGTTGCGATGCCAAGCGCATCATCCGACCACTGTAGGCGTCCGGAGTGAGAAAAGTTGGTAAGCTAACTAGGGCCAAGGTAGAAGAAGCTCTTGCAGCAAAGCCTTCTGTTTGCATAATTCCGGTTGAATTATTCTAATCGCGATCGTTTTGGATGTCCGTAAGATTTGCTTCCTAAGTCCTTTAGTGTACCGGGGCTGTACCACATAAAGTACTTGGAAGTCATCAGCGGTCCTAATTCGGTGTCCGCTTTCCACCAGATGTTCCAGGATGGAACACTATGTATGGTTGGCGGCATCCGGTTTCGGATTTGCCTGTCACTTTGGCCAGCCACAGGATGCCTGCACCTACAGAGAGACCACGGGTGGCTTGCGCTGCACCACCCACAGCTCCAACCACACACCACATATCCAGTTTAAACCCGAAGGAATAAGACCGGGAAGCATGTGGATGGGAGCCACGTTTCATCAACGGAGCCGGCCCACATTCCTTCACAGGCAAACACAAGCACACTGTATTTGGGAATTAAGCGCACACAAGGCGGTGGCTGGACCGTAGTCCGCTCCACACTGAGTGCATGGAACCACTCTTCGAGTCTAGCACGGCCACAAGGACCGTGCACCCCGTCCCCTCCAGCAACGACCAACTGTCTCCTGGAGCCAGTATGGACGAGGTAGTGGGTAATAGACAGGTAGGCACCTTGTCATCATGCACATCAAGCGCAGCCACACCGGGGATATCAAGCAACAGCCAATCACCTGAAATAACATTAGTAAACAAAGTATATCTGTTAAAGCATACGGCTATGCAGACATAACACTCTTTTCACTAAATTAGCATATGAAGTAAGTTGGTTATCAACGAAAAAGCGACAAGTACAAAATGTCCACAAGTTAGTCGAAATATGCTACAAACGCAAGAAAGTTAAGGAAGATAAGCGCAATTAGCGTAAGCAACGTGTGCAAGTTAACAGATTATTCAGGTAGGCAGAACGAACCAATTAAAGTGGAATGAAATGTATCCAGCTTAAGAAGACTTAGTTTAAGTTGGTTTAGCCCAACTGTGGTGAAGAAGCATCATGAATGCAACATCAGCCTCAGCATGGGGCACACTATGTATACAGCTGTTGCAACAAACACGATACCCACTAGTCACATGCGACATAGGCATGGAAGAGCAAATGGTAGCAGCTGTGGAAATTACATCTCCGGTCTTGAGCGTGGTTTTGCTCAGAGGCATTGAAATAGACGCAAGCGAAGCACACGTGTCAAGTGCATTGTTCACGTATGCATGTGTGCATGCACACACACGTTGGGATTCCGTTCCCGTTGATCGAAAGTGACATGTGAAACCCGTCAGAGATTCATGAAGATAGTGCCGATAAACCACAGTCGATACAAACACCATAAATACAGTGTACGAAAAGCCATGATAAAAGTACGAAATAAAGATGCGGTGACTTCAACCGAAGCTTGACTCGAGTGGTACTACAATATCCCGAAGAGCACGAAAGTCTGCAAGTGGAAACGTGGGGCAAATACGTATGGAACAGCTAATTCGCGAAAAAACGGAAACGGGTAACGGCTTATTTGATGTTGAATAAAAAAGCGCTTCAACGTACGAACAGAGGTGGTGAATTCAGTCAGTAAACAGAGGCATACGATTGGGAAACGTCGAACTGAGAAATAACAATTACCTGCTGGATGCTGACAGGAAAATATGAAGCGCCTTTAGCTGTTCGGTTAAGCAAGTGCCGGACATGTAGCTAGAAAGAAGGATGTGGAAAAGATGGATACAGTTAGACAGGTCATGTAGGAAAAAGGACTAAGAGTGAAGTACTATGTAAGATTATCAGTAGTACAGTAGTAATATCGACTGATCGCAAGCGGTTGCGCATGTGATAGGAGACCGCGAGGGGGCACCCAAAGGTGAACAGGGACAAGCACACGAACATGGAGCTCAGAGGTTGCAAATCAGACAACGGAACCATTCGGTCAGCACACACGCATTGGGGAACATTTGGAAATGCGAAGTGCGGGGGCAAACAGTTAAGTGGAAAAATAAAAACAGAGAACAATGTGAGAGTGATGAACTGCAACCACCAATGGGATGCTGAGCGTGATGTTGTGTAAATAAGGCAAGTCGTCGGGACGAATAAAAGTGGCAACGATGTGCTCATCGAACCGGGTGCGATTCCGGAGCAAGAATAGTACGCTGAAAGAATGGAGACACCGCAGAACAGCTGTTTCGGATCGGTTTTGACAACGAATTTAAATGATGTCCGGTTGACAAACGTTAACCGGGTCAATAATGCGATAACACATCATCAGTCAGTTGAACATGCCAGCCAAGGCACCGACCGAAAGGAAAATGCGCAGTTTGTCTCTCACATCATCATCATCATCATCATTATACACGACAGCTGCAGATGGAAAACACCTCAGCTATTGTGCCGAAAGACAAGAGAAAAATGGAACAGAAGCACGCCAGCTGAGTCACCAGTAACAGATGGGCATCGTTCCGAAGAACTAACAGCCGGCTCTTGTTCCGTAAGAAAGAGTTATGTTAGGCGTAATAAATGAGATCGTGGTTCGGGGGGAGGCTAAGCGGGAGGGGGAGGGACAAAGAAACTCATAATACAAACGCCATTGAAATCGACTCCTAGCTATGTTAACAAGTGTAGCCAGCTAAACGTGTTCATCGTCCTTTGGTTCCCAATCAGGGAGAGTAGAGGCTCCAATCGAGGCCAACTTCGAAGTAAGGGCCTTCATTCCGCTTGACCAAGTCATCACTTGGCCACCCGTCCTCTTCTTACATCCGCACCCCCGGCGCGCAAACAGCGCACGTCGCGGGAGTCGGTGGGCTGGGACGCGCAACACGTGGCCGAGCCATCAGACCCTGGCGCGTGATATAATGGTGCTGCGCGGTTCAGTTCCTTTTCCTGTGTCATAAAAACAAGGCGTCGAACATGCTTATTGCTCACACGGTGTTCCCACTAGATATGATCCAAAATGCGAAGGCAGCAGTTGGTCTCTGAAAGTTACTGATTGCAGGAGAAAGATTACTTTTCGATGAGATGTGGATGAATCGGCGCAAGTAGAGAGGACACAAGGTCGGACCAACAGGGGCATATATGAACGAGCGGAATCGGGGTAGAAAAAAACAATTTCTTAGGATGACGACATGCTGATGAATGCCGAAAGGCAAGCGTAGTACACTTGGTACCGAAGACCTTCCAGTTCACCAGCGGGGGACAATAGACCTGCTGGACAGGGATCTGGAACAGGTATTCACAAACGTAATTCAACCGTGGCCCCACTTTGAACCTTTCCATTTCTGACTTTCCCCACTCATGACCACCACAATTTCAGAAATTCGCAACGCCAAACAGACGTAAATCTGTGTTTTCCCGTGATCACATTCTTATCTTTTGTTGGAACAGCTAAATGGTTAATGTTCATCTCACTGCTCTTTCCTTTAAAAAGCACATTTTTCAGTTTTCACAGCATCAAGATAACATTTACTGTGCAGCAACATAAAACCATTTATCTGTAATTACACAAAAGTCATCATTAATAGTTAAAATTGTATTTAATTATTGTTCGCATTTAACCGTAAATCATGTCAGGGATTAAGCTGTGTAGTAACTTCATGGCAATATTTTCTGTCGAAATATTAACGTGAGCCTGGCGCTTGATGTCCTTGAGCAAACTTACTTATGTCCGGCTCTCGAATTGACAGCGAGAGTCGAAGAACTCCTCTTGCTGTGACGTCCAATCTGTTTCTACATTTTACTATAGAAATCACTGCTAAATCCACACTCAACCAAGTATGCGGATGGAAAATCAAGAAAATGTGTTTCAGCAATTTCCCAGACTGGAATATCTGTTAGGAAGAATTATTTTCGGTAAACTCTCATCGGACCCAAACGTTTACAAAACACTGATAGTGTGGGGTAAGCGTCAACTCGGGTTGGGATTTACTTCTGGACTGTTTGAATGATCAAAATCGATAACTTGAGACAGAGATGGTAAACCAAGTAAACTAAATAAACATGCATACTCAAAGCTCAGTAGTCAAAAGTAATTAAGTAGGTAAGATAACAACCAAATAAGTAAGTAACAGTGTCCGTTGGCCGCATGAATCGTTTTGGTACACAGAATTCCGGCTTCAGATGGTGAATGTAGATAGCCTCCTGGATGGATAAGAGCTGCTTGCGGAATCCTTGGGAGAAGTGTTCAGGTAGTGAGTAAACGAAATTGAAGTCATTCTCTGAAGCCGTATAGCCACCTTCAAGGTGGTGCGACATGATTGAGCTGTACGAAAACCTCATCTGGCCTTTGTAAAACCATGCCGGGATGTGTTCATGAATCCTCTGATAGGCGCCTCGTTGTGCGACCCATCTATGGTGCACCACAGGAGCACGAGTACTGATAAACGATCATTGAACGGGTCAGCGACGGTAGTCTATTCTTCAAGTGTTTTGTGAGCAACGGCTTATTGTGAAAAACGATTCTCAGGCGGGCCACGAACTAAGTAATCTCGACAGCGTCTCTCAGGCGTCTGGATAACATATCAGCTGCAGAATCACCCTTAAAGGGTATATGTATAAAAAGTTCTTTATGAAGAACAAAAGACCGAAGGTAAACAATTGTTTTCGATGTTTCATCTTCAGACCTGTACAATCATATGGGTGAAATAACAATGGGCAAGTACAAGTGGATTAACGATCAGTTCAAATGAGACTGATCACGTGTCGACCAAAGGCATGAACCAGTAACAAACAGCAAACTAGGGCTGAGGTACAGTTGCACAATTGCAGTTGCTCTCCGAAGGCTCCGTTTTGGCTGGCCAAGGTAGCTTAACAGCTTCGATCAGCTTCTTTTGTGCACACAAAAGCGGTTGATACAACCGAATGCTGATCGCCTCGGCAGTAGCAAGGGTGCGGAGGCGCAGGCCTTTCGACTGGAGTGGAGGGACCCTGTACAGTATTCGAAAGGCACTGACTGGGTCAACCTCATGCCCACTATCAACAAGATGAGCCTTTGGTCGACACGTGATCAATCTCATTTGAACTGATCGTTAATCCACTTGTACTTGCCCATTGTTATTTCACCCATATGATTGTACAGGTCTGAAGATGAATCATCGAAAACAATTGTTTACCTTCGGTCTTTTGTTCTTGATAACGAAATGGGAATTTTCCACTTACTGAAATCGTCCAAGCCGCCCTCAGTGGTGAAGGAACTAAATCGGTTCCTTAAGTTCTCCACTAGGCTTGCCGAAGCTAAAACTTTTGTACAATTCTTCGATGATTGCATTGAAGGCAACGAATATCCTAGCAGATTCTGGAAGCAATTGCGCCGCAGTCGTATCTACCCGAATGCCAAAACACTTAGACCTCATACTTTGAACCAGCGTGACACGGTGCAATCCAAGATTCCCGAATTCGAGCGCAATATAACGCAACATCAACATGTGATTGACGAGTTAGCGTTGGATGTGAAACAATCATTCCTGGATTACGTTCAGTCTATCACCGCAAACCGTGTACGACGAAGGTGTTTGGCCCTAACAAAGACGTTGAATCAGCAGAAGCCGCAATCCACTTTCCCTAATAGACCTGAGAGGTACGTGCACAATTTTTCAAGTATGAAATTGAACTCCACTTTAATGGAAGTTCTGTCACTTGGTCCAAAGTTTTGCGCTCCCAAACACAAAGATAATCAGCTTCACTATGAGTTACAGTTTGAAAGCCTGTTTGGCCAAACAAAAGGGCTAGTAGCTAAGTCAAATGAAGACCTGGAACGCTTTAAGTGTTCTCTAGTGAACACTTGCTACCAGTATCGCAAGTGCCATGTCCAAACTCACGGTCCACTGACACGCAAGCACCTTGATGAGCTGAAGGATTTACGACGCAATGGTAAGATCGTTCTGAGCAAACCGGACAAGAACACCGGAGTCGTTCTGTTAGATAAAGAAGACTATATAAACAAGCTCGAAAAGCTTCTGAGTGACGAATCGAAATTTTCCCGAATGATTGGAGAGAAGGATCAGACAGAGAGAATTGAAAACCAAATTATTAAAAGCTTGCAAGATCTTCGGAATAATGGACATATATCAAATACACTTTATGAAAGCTTGAAGCCGAGTGGCACGAATGTCCCGAGGCTTTATGGGAACTTCTGACCCTACTAACTGAGATGGATTTCGCGCTAGCGTGTTTCTGCTACTGCAGCCAACCCTTTCCAAATATCCTATTAGATTTTTGCAGTTTTGCCTCTTACCAGACCTACGTCAACCGCGACGTTCCAGTAACCGTGTCAAAGTTACCATTGTCTTAGTAGGATAGGTACGACCTTAAATTTGTGAACCTAATAAACGTAGGTTGATTGCAACGTTTTGAGCGGGGCACAGAAATCGAATAGCCAGACAAGAAAAATAACTTATTTACATGTGTGCATGTGTTTAATTGTGTAAGAAGCCTTTATACTTGATGTGTAATTTCAAACGCTTGTTTTTGCATCGGCCTTACCATACTACTTATCTTCCTTTCCCATTTATTCCACAAATTACACATTTACTATTATTACCGGCAACTGAGTCCGAGCTGAATATTTTGGGAGTTTCAGTAAGCAATAATTAACCCGAAATTGTTTCGATATCGTTGCAACCGAGATTGTACTCTTAGTACCTTAAGCTAACGCATAGATTTCCAGCAATTCGTTTTCTTCTTGTGTCTGGTTGCAGACGTTCAATCC